CGGCAATTCGTTGGGCCAGCTTACTCGGCGATGATACTTGGCGGCGGCGGCCGGCGCGCAATGGGACAGTAGCTTCGTGATAGAGCTAGTTGGTGGTTCGGTTGAGGGGAGACTCGAGGTGTGTGGAACATGTTGGTATTGATTATAGTTTTGTTTTATCTTCTAAATGACCTCCCGCTCACTCTGGCGATGTGGTGCGGCTGCCTCTCTGTCTTTGGGAGGAGCCCTCGTCACATTGGCCTAGGACATGACGCCCCTTGCGCAGTCCTCCGGCCCACGCCGCAACGCCGGGGTGAAAGGGAGCCGAGAAAGATCAAACTTGATGAGCTGGTCTGGAAATGGCGTGGATGGATTCCTGCGGGTAGGCAAGGAGTTTCAGAGAGGGCGAAGCACCGAGCGTGAGGGCTTCTGCAGACCGTCCGCACCCGGGCAGATCGCTATGAAGGCCTCATGATGAGGCCTCTGGAACTCAGGGCCTTGACACATTCAACCTTTCGCTGCAGTTTTTTCGACTGAAACTCTCAGAGCCGGAGGATTATCTTTCAAGAAGTCCATCGCTCTCGTTCAGCGTCCGTCTCGGCGAGCTTGTTATCTCTATCGTAGATTGGTTCTCGGCGTACCAAGGTGCCGGCGATAAAAGGCTTTTAAAGCGCTCAACTGCGTTGAGTCAACGGATATCTCACACCTAAACCGAATTCAGCGGGAAGCAACCCCCGAACGTTTTTCCGATTGTTGACCATGTCTTTCACCCGATAAATTTTGGATTGGCCTTTGGGGTCGTTGCAATCATTCTTCTACGATGATCGTGCTACGAGCTCCATCCAGAGGCGCTTGCCTGTGAACTGGGTGAGCCGGAGTGCAATTTCTGACGGCCAGGATGGTCCTGATAGGACCTCCAACGGAGATCGTCAGACTGCATTCCCGGAAGTTTCCCGGAACCTCAGAAACTGTAAAACTGGAAACTGCCTCCGCCGACGGCAAAAGGATATACCCTCCTCCGCCGCGGCCCCTCTCCATTGAGCCAAGCAATCCAAAAGGGTTCACTTCAAGTGAACACCGAACGAGAGCGCTGCGACAGCACCTAGTTCAGTGGACAGGAGTCAACGAGTTCGCGTGTGTGGCACTGTGTACGCTATAGTTCTGTATGCAGTGCTCCTGAGATAGTGTCTCCGCAAAACGAACGAATTACGTACCCAGCCGGATCGTGAAGCGACGTGACCAACTTGACACTAACCGTGTCTGGCTGGCCGGAACCTCCTGGCAGAAGGTCGCTGGAGTCGAACGCAACGTGAAACGCGGGCGTGAAAAGAGGAGAGTTAGAGGAATTCTATATTCCTCTAAGCAAAACTTTCGATGATATGTGAGATAAAGCCTTTGTCCAGATAAAGCCTAAATGAGCGGCCCGAGGCTGCTGTCAGGCAAAAAAGGGCTCCATTTATGGAGCTTCCTCGTCATGAGGTTCGAGTCACGTTATTGGAAAACGCGATAAGTTAGAGGCTCTAACATCAAGAACTGTGTACCGTGTACTGAACCTATTTTCCTAAACCCGGTCATGCAGCACCCCATTAACGATAGTGCGAGTGAAGTTGAAGATCTTACCGGCTCTGTCACCGGCCGCCGTGAAAGTTATATGATACTTCCAACCTCCCTCCAGCTTCTCCATGCGTAGTATGTTCCAGACGTAGAGTGGCAAATCTGAGCCCTTGTTCTGCTCAGGAGTGGCGAGAAGCTCCATTTGCTTGCTGCTTGCGAAACCTTTGATTCCATACCACGGGAACCGCGCCTTTTTTCCCTCAGGATAGTGAGCGTCAACCGTCGACGCCACGGAAACAGGGACTACGGAAGCCTATATCATCATAATCGAACCATAGGTGGGCCCAACCACTAGTCTCCACACTGACCTTTGTCTCGCCGCTTGTATGGTTCTCCATCAAGTTGACCTGGATCCTCATCTCACCCCATTTCCCAGCCATGTTAGTTCTGATAACAATGCCGCCGGTCTCTTGATAAACTCCATCCGATCTCTGCCCTTTCTGGCTGAAGATGCAGGAGGGGTGCAGCAGTTCGATGGTGTCCCCTTCCGCCGGACCAGGGCCCGCATAGCAACCCTTGGGATAATCAGCGACCGTTCTGAAAGGTTCACCAGAACTCGCAATCGACAATGGAGAGATGCAGGCCAACACGAAGACGCCGCAGTGGACCCAGATGGCGAGAGACGTCCTGGTGTAGAGCCTGGTAGTCGGAAGCGCCATAAGAAAATATAAGAACGAGGCTGAGCAATCTAGTGGGAAATCTTCTCGAGGGCCGCCTGGGATCTACTTTGCGGCTATAGTGCACAATATTTATCAAGCTATGAGGGCCGGCGCAATTAACGGAGCGCGAAGAGGAGACTCGTTACACTAGACTGTCGTCACAAGTGAGCGGCTGGCACTCTCAGACCCTTGTGATTCGAGGATAATATCAGCGGACTCCTCCGCAAAACGACTCGCAGGAGGCATAGGGATGATGGATAATAAGAATAATCTCAATGAATGGGGAATGGACTGTCGTTCATGAACCGCAGCGTAAAGCACTCATGCGCATAGCGTTCCTCGTCGGATTGTCTCTCGCGAGGGCAAACCGTGTCGCGGGCACGTGTCATGCGACTAGACGGCAAGAGGTAATTTGACACGGCTCACAAGATAGGATGATGCCGCTGTCTTGAGGACGTCTGGGCGTCTACATCTGAGATCAAAATCCGGAAATTCAATTACGCGTGATGCGTGTAGCTCCGGAAACTCAGGTCTGTCTGAGTACACGCCATCAATAAATTGAGCATGCGTCACTATACTCGTCAGAGGAAGTCAGGGATGGTCTGTTGTTCACACGCGGACTGTCGACGTACAACTCGATCTAGTTACGCAACACGAAGTTGGTGTCGCTAACCTTGGGTGAGCTTGGAGGCTATAACGGCTCGAACGGCACCCAATCTGTGAAATCCAGAGTCTACCAATTCCGGAATAAACCCAAGCTGAGTGCACGCAGGTACATAGCTGCAACAGTACGGGTTCTGTTTTGCTGCAGCTAAGTATGTACCTGCGTGCTCTGTATTAGAGAAGCGGGCGATGGACCCGGGAGTGCCCTCCACTGAAGGGCTTACACATATCTCCATTCTAAGGTGGGCCACCTTGCAAGGGACTACCACGGAGCACGAACGGACAAGGGCGAGTAAGCAACTGTGATGCGTACAGACGACGTGACGGCAACGGTAGCAGTATTGTTGTTCATTATGCAATTATTGTTGGTGACTTAGTTGAGCTCTACTAAATCGGCCTCTCGTGAAATCAAATTCTTCTGGGTCTCTACTAGTTTGGTCTGAGCTTTATTAAATGTTCTGGGATTTGGGTAAGTAGGTCTGCGAATAGTGTAGAAGACCCCGACGCGGTTATCCCGAACTTCGGGACCCGAAGGTGAGCTGTCCACAGTCTGTAGTCCAGTCGTACTTTATTCATCGTCCAGACAGGCTCTGCTTAGCAGAGATGGGCATTCCTCCTCTCCTGAGCTCTCACGCTAGTAACTCCAACTCGAAGATGTTGCATCACTCTCTCCTCTTGTTTGGAGTCTCCAAGCGACTGATGCGGTGGGTGCTGCTGCACACGAAATACAATTTTGATAGCTTTCCTTAGTTCATCGAAGTTTGCGCAAACGTATGGGGTGGATCGCAAGCTTGAAGCTTGAAGCTTCACTTGTGTCCTCTCAACGAGATTGGTACCAAATTCGTGTCCCCAAACTCCTGCCAGTTGAATTGGATCGGATTCGGCGATGCTGATTCTGTCGCACGCATACCCCGTGCTCTATGATGCTTCAGAATCTGAAGTTCAGATGTATATGATGATGCATTATATATACAGGGTGTTCCCATTCGAATCGAATTTCAGTGATTCGCATATCGAATGATTCGATATGCGAATCACTAAAATTAGTCTAATTCAGCACATACTACGTGTTTGAGCTGAAACTTGAGTATGATATGCACTAATATATTTATTATTAAGTTTTTTGATATCAGCTAACCGATCGACCGTTTCACTCACCTGAAGACGCGAAGGTAGCCGTGCCAATTCGTTATACTTCGTTATAATTCGTTTCGCCACACACCGTATGTGTGTCACACATGGTGTGAGATGATTTATATATGCTTCATATGATGCTTCATTCATGTACAGCCTACGAGTCTCGCAAGAACTTCGCAGAGTACGTCCTTCGGAAGCTTGCCTAGGGTGCTTGTTCGAGTTTCTACTGCTGAGCTTATATGAGAAATACGGGAGATTGCGAGAGAACAGAGGAGAGATTATACACCGCAGGTGCGGATTCGGTTAAATCTCTTCCTCACTCTGGGTCCATGGTTCCTGTGGAGCTGCTCGTATTCGTATTAGTAACTGGCCCTGAGCTTCGAATTTCGGCACATTCAGGACCCACACACGTTTCTCAACTTGACTACGGCTCTTTTCGGGTGCGCAGACCTCCTGCTCTCGGGACCCGAGGGCAACGGGCCGTTGCTGATGAGAAGAAGGACGACAGTCCGACAACTCCACCAGGTGACTCACTGCAGCCACAATGTGGATTTCACACTGAGCTGTGTTATTGGATAGTGCTCATGCTTCACTGACCATTCCCGTGCAGCCGTCCCTGGAATTTCCAGGGACGGCTGCACGGGAAAGCCAGGCTGGAAAGCCTCTCGGAAGTCTCGGAGGCGGGTAACCTGAAGGGAGACGGCGGAGCTCAGTCGATATGGCTGAGAAGACTCTTGGTAAGCCAGGTCGGGGTCATGTTGGTAATGAAGCTGCGGAGAGTCAAAAGATTCCCACGACCATCCCTCTGCCGCCTACCGCTAAACTTTGCCTCGTTGGGAATACTTCCCTGAGTTGATGGCCGTATCTCAGGTGAGGAGTTCTCCCTGATGAAGAAGCCAGTAATGGATAGTGAGCACTTGAAAGAGGAACAAAAGCGTGGAAGGTATATTCCGAGGCCGGGTATTGAACTCGAGTCTCCTGCGTGACAGGCAGGAATACTCGCCAATATACTACCGCGGAACTGATAATTTTTTCCTTCTCCGAACCTGCTCTGATCTTGATGTCTAATGTTGTAGGCCTTGCTCTAGAGAAGGCAGTCTTCGAAGCAGAAAGAAGTGACTCGGATATTGCTCTGACCGGTGACGTAAATCACAATCCATCTCCATGATGTCTCGAAAGTTTCGAGTCGAAACCCATTAACAGTAAGAACATAAGAATTTCTTATGTTTGGAGCAGCTGAAGCTCAGCTGCTGAGCTCGTCCAATTCATCTATGCCACAACCCCGGCCCGGGGTAAACACAAAACCTGAAAGAACTGCCAGCTCCCAGTGGGAAGGACTGCGCAGAATTCAGCCACGACTTGAAGGCGTCGCCTTCGAAATTTATCGGCTTGGTGGCAGCAACTGGTGGCTATAGTATAGCCGCTATACGGAGTTCACTTCTTTCCAGGAAGACGAGCCCGTTGTTGGGTGATGGTCCGCAGAGGGGCGAGGGACGTGGTGGCTGATATGTACATCGGACCCACTACAGGGATGATCTCCTACACGGAAACCGAACCTACTAGGTTCAACCTAGTGGGGGGCGCCGTTTTGGGAGCCGCCTAAGGCTGGTGTCGCCCTAGGATCTAGGACCTACGGACCGCAGGTCCTGCATCCAAGGGCGACTCACTAGGACTCTGCCCTTTAACACGGGGGAGGCTATCTAGTGCTGTCGTGAAATCTTCGCTGTGCGCATCAGCTATCTTTCTGTAGACACCGTCTGGAACCAGAACAAGAATGTGAGGGTGCAATTCAAAAGAGCTTAGTGGAAGACAGTGATGTGCCGGGGAAAAGGGGACCCTAGAACAAGAGATTGAAGAGATTGAATCTAAGAGATCGGAGTTAGTATGGATGCTGGCAACACAAGATACTTTGAGCCAGGCTCAAAGATGTGTTACACGCTCACATTAACGCAAAGATACGATAGTAACGAGAGCAAGTTCCGTTGAGCTATCTAGCTGATGCTGCGGTCCGAGAGGAGTTCAACCACGGACGCCCGGCTGCTCTGAAGGTAGGCTGCCAGCCAACTCGGCTAGGGGTGCAGGGTGTGCCATTTTTCCGGAAACGCGAAAATATTTCCTTTCCGGAAATTTCCACTGGAAATATCTGGAAATGAGCGGAAATGATGGAAACACTAAATTTTTGCGCACGCCCTTGCGGGCGCGCAAAATTGTTGACCAATCCTTGGTCACTTGCTTTCTTGCGCCATTTCGCAACGCACTAAAGGACGGAAACATTATGGAATTACCTCCCCAATGATCGCTTACCGCACCTTCTACCTGTTGAACACCAGTCATGGCACATGGTAGAGCACCTGGGCCAGGTGACCTGGGCAATGCCCAGTGGGCATCGGGAGAATGTTGATCAATCCTTGGTCACTTGCTCTCTTGCTTCATTCCTCAGCGTACTCGAGCATGTGAATACGTAAGTAATTGTAAGTGAGTCTTTACTTAAGTTTACTTAAGTAATTGTAAGTTTGCTGGACTCCCGAGTCCCTTCGACTCGGCCCATCGACTCAGTCGGTGCGCCAGAAGTCAACGCATAGGCCCAAAGGCCTAAGACTCTTCGGAGCTGAAGACTTATTGCCCGCCACCAAATGATAGCGCCCACGAAGAAAATAAGTGCCAGTTTTGGCGGAGTTGCGCGTAGACGTAGATCATCCATGGTGGATGACTTACGGCAGATCTTCGTCCAGTCCTATCAGGAGTTTTATATTATAAACCACGGAAAAAACAGATTTCATGCGAAAATCGGCAAAAATGGCCGAAAGTGACGTAAATTTTCTTCGCTTGCGCGAAGGAATGACCCTTCTTCGTGCATACATGTTTCCGGAAATTTCCACGCCGTATATTTCCATCGGAAATTTTCGGAAATTTCCGGAAAGAAAAATCGCACAAAATGGAAACAGCACACCCTGTAGGGGTGGTCCATGATGCTCTGGTAGTCCCTGCTTGATATCGACCAGAGATGGATTTGCATGAGATACTATCGTGAGACACGACCGGATGGGCTCTATTGACAAGATCGGGGAGAAGATCAAAGTCAGTGACTGACCTAAGGTCAGTGACCTTGCATCCACGCCTGTAGCAGGATCCTGCTACAGGCGTGGATGCGCAGGAACTACTCTTTCGTTCTCGACAGGAGTACTAGCCTGATTGAGACGACTTACTGGAGTATCATCTCGACCCGGAGGACCTCCGTTAGAGCAAGACATCTAAACGCGGGCTGAGTCGAGAACCGAACTCAAGATCTCTCGCTCCCAAAGCGAGAATCATACCACTAGACCACACAGCCTCGAAAGACATGTCGTAGAGGAAGCTAGCGCGCTTCTGTGTCTGTCGCTAGGAGCCGCGGGCCTCCGAAGACGCGGTAGCAACTTCAACGCGACTGATGATCTAGCACACATATCGAACGATGCTGCAATACTGGAACCGAGAATCGAACTCGGGACCTACTGCGTGTTAGGCAGTCGTCATAACCAACTAGACCATTCCAGCAAGCTGAAAAGGCTTGCGCTAAGCGCGCAAGCTTCCTCCTCTACATGGACGGGTCCGACCCGGAAGATAGGCACGGGCTGCTAGTTCTAGCGAAATTGGTCTATCCCAAGCATTAGATGCTATTCCAAGCAGGCGCTGTTAAGTCAAGCACGCCTTGCTAGTTCAAGCGGTGCACATTGCTTGGGATAACAACAGTGTTCTACAGTACTATGAGCCCCTGATAACAATAAAGGTTCAACGACGAAAATCGAGCACTTTAGTCAAAGCTCAACTACCGGGTAGTTGCAGGGTAGTTACTACCCTGCTGTTACACAAAAACGGCTACAACCACCGACATAACAACCCGCACCCCGGAGTCAACTCGGAGCCCTACATATCGTGGAAACAACTTAAACATACACCATGAAACAATGGTACTCGCGGGGTATCTTTCGGGCTGGAAATTTCGGCCTGCTACTTATTACCAAGATCTTACAAGCTACAATGCCTTTCACACATCTTCCAAATTACATTGCCTGCAGACTCCGGTTCCTGCATATCCCCAAATCACCAGTTCTTGGCGCCAAATTAACCTAACAGCATCTTCATCCTATGCAAGATGTCTTTCCAAAGAAAATCTCTCTTGAGCTTGGGCACTACTTTCCTCTTCCGCTGAACTACCGCTCGCTTTCTCTCCATCCTGCCAATCAGCGCTCGGAATAGACACATTCCCAATTAGCGTCAGTGAACAGCTCGAGCTCGATGAGTTCCGCCCATCTCTTCTATCATCCGCCAGTATTTCGGACCCAACTTCTGTGTCTCCTCCTTGCCATTCACTGTCGTTCACAGCAGCCGGGAGGCCTGAACCATTTAGTTACGGTCTTCAAATTTTATCATCAACAAGCACATCTATCAGTCTCGAGTATCTCCCTTTAAGAATTTACGGTGCTACCTTCTAATAGTGATTCCCCATTATTCACATCGCTTCTATCCAGATTGGCTTCGTCGGACGACCCCGAGTGTACTCGCCCTGAAAATGAGGCATGTCACGTCAGACATGCCCGCGACCCAACCTTCGACGAAGTTCCATCGCACTACGAATATCGAGGGTAATGATGTGATGAATAGTAGCACAGCAAGCTCAGGAAGTCGATCAAGGTACACTTACGTCCCACTCCAATGCTGGATTCCGAATTAATCCCATCACTGTCTCCTACATAGTCTCGGCGTCTATTCTGGTCACGGCGAACAGAAACAGGAACTGCAAAACGATAATCTGGCACCAAGTGCTACTCAAATCCGGGCTACCTGGACGGGGCGCTGAAGCAGCCGAGTGGTACCGACCCAAAGCACCAACTCTACGCCTCGTCGGACGTCCTCTACGTACAGTGGGAAGTCCCCGGTTTTCTGGATGATACCTGATGTCCCAGAAGAAGGAATGAATTTCATTCAATGAAACATGGACGATGTATAGAGCCTCGATAACTGACTGTGAGTCACTTACGGATCCTGAGTGCCAGTGAGCACTTCCACTGCGTACCCATGTGAACACGTTCCCCAGTCACGTGAGCTTTTGCAAGTACACGACACTGTTGGCGCCTCACCGCTGAGGCTGTGATCACCATGGGGTGCTTCGAGGGTGATAAGATTGAAGCTGAAGTAGGTGCGCATCAAAAATTCCAGCGTAGCGGCGTTATCTAAAAAATGACATTCGTCACGCTAACGAGCTGCATCCTCGTAGATGCAAGGCGCACTCATTAGCTTAGCTCACCGGTTGGGAAGTCATCCAGCAGAACTCCTCTGAGGAACATTTCGATTGCACTATCGTCGTCAAGGTCGTCTGGTGCGCGGACTCCGCGCCGCGGAGGCTTTTGATGACGAAGAAGTTACTGCTCACGTTTTCCTCCAGTATTTCTTCCACCATGTCCGTCACCTGTTGAACATCCTGCAGAGTTCGACTTTATTTCTGAACCGCTGTACGTCACTACATCTATCACTGCATCAGTTGCCGCCAGGCTCGTTCCCCGAATACGCGCTGTCTCATTGTATCTTATACGATTTATCACCTCGGGCCTCTTAACGAAATGCTGTGGGCTGGATCCTTTCAAGGAGTTCACCATCTACAAGCAAATGCTCGAAATTACGAACATCACATGACTCCAGTTACTCCCCCATTCTACCTGTTTGATTCTAGCACCAAGGATGGGCATGCGGAGACGGTTGCTGCCGAATATCCTGCATTGAGTTCGGTGGAACGCTTCGACTACATTATTCAACACCTGATACAACGGCTTTTCATTTTTGCAAATTCGTAGTGCCATCTGACCTGGGCACAGCGGAGCCCTTCGGAAGTAAGGGCGATGTTTGGATAGCCGTAGCGTTCCACATCCAAAGTATTTCCGAGGTAGGCAGCGGCATCATCATCGATGAGCTGCACTTCTTCAATGAGGGCAGCAGAGATCATCTCGTACAGCTCGTCTGTGGGACAGGCATGGAGGAAGAACTTA